TGGGTCGGAACCGACTCGACGGCACTTAACAACAACAACTCTATGTTCAAGCATACGTTTTAGAGTCTCTTCTGATACCCGTTTTGGTCTTTTCTGTCTTGCTTTTTAATGGTCTTGGCTCGTTAGTGTTCACTGCTTCATGTCTGTTCTTGACATGGCTGTACGTTCAGGTGAGGTATACTCAGGGTTATATTTTGAGGCTTGTGGAGTTGTTTTAATTTTCTTCATCTTCAGCCTAAACTTGCCTATGAACAGTTGTTAGGATACCTTTCAAAACAGATCCAATCAAAGCTGGCTTCCCAGGAGATCTGCCAGACCAATTAAATTCAAGACAGAGAGGTCAGGTCCGAAGGTTATTGTTTGTTGTTAAGTGATGTCAAGTTGATTCCGAGTCATAGTAACCCTGTATAGAGTTTCTGAGGAGCAGCTGGTGAATTTGAACCACAGACCTTGTGATTCACAGTCCAGTGCTTACCTTACAGTGCCATACCAGGAGTACACCAGAGGTTATGGTGACAGCTTTTTCAGATTCCAAAAGGGTTATTTTGATAGATTTTCTCAAAGGACCGAGGAAGGTCATGGGGGTTTATTAGGAAAAAATTTGAAGAAAATTGAAAATTGCATTTGTGAGAAAAAGGCCAAGAAATTTGTGCCAAGGACTGTTTTCCAGTCAGGACAACGTACCTTCTTGTTCTTCAAGGGCAGCGAGTGCTTTCCTGAGAGAATTTTATTGGGACACTTCACCCTGCCCGCCCAGTAGCACTGATCTTCCCAAAGAGTCCTTTAGTTCCCCAAATTCAGAGAACATTTAAAAGGAACAAGATTGGAGTCCCTCAAGAATGACAAAACTGTCATTTTCATGTGGAGTAGTAAATAGAAGCGTACTGAAATCTTTGGTGAATAGCTGTTGTTGTTGTTAAGTACCGTGGAGTCGGTTCCGAATCATGGTGACCCTGCGAGGCTGTAAATCTTTATGGGAGCAGAAAGCCTCATCTTTCTCCCACGGAACAGCTGGTAGTTTCGAACTGCTGACCTTGCGGTTGGCAGCCCGACTCGTAGCCATTACGCTACCAGAGCTCCTTTTGTTGTTGTTGTTAAAGTGCCGTTGAGTTGATTCCGACCCATAGCGACCCTGTGTAGGGTTTCCGAGGAGCAGCTGGTGAGCTTGAACCACACTGACCTTGCAGTTCAAACGACTTCGCAGTCTGACGCATTAGCCCACAGCGCCACACAAGGACTCCTCGTGAATAGCGAGAGAGATGGAAACACCACTTTCAGAAGAGCATAGACCAAGATGGAGAATCTGTTGAAAAACAGTAACTTCCCATTTTAAGATTTTTGTTTAATAAAGATTTCGGTGCTTTTGTTGCAATACTTTTTGACTGACCCTCATAAATCATTGATTACAGTTTTATTTGGGTTGCATTCCTGACTTGATAAGGTTTTTCTTTGATGGAATGCAAATGAAATCTCAGATCGTGTGCTGTGGAATCCTGTAATTTGTTCAGAAGCTAGGAGCAGTTTGTATTGGTGAGTCCAAGTTTTGGGTTTTGTCTTCCTTATGCTAGTAAGTTTTTTTTTCTCCAACTGAATTCAGATGTAAAGTAATTGGCCAACACTGGCCTTGTGTGTATACAGAAATGGTAAGAACTTCAGACAGCCTACACTGCTGACAAGAAGCCTATGGGTCGTATTCTTAAGATTTATTATCTATAGGATCAGAGGGAAGAAAACTGGCTACACATTAAAGCAGTGATTCTAGCAGGATTGAAAAGCACAAGGAATTTATCATGGAGAAAACTCTAGCAGCTCTCAGAAAAGTGGACATTCTCTTAAGCTGATCAGATATTTCAGTGTTTGTCACTTGTAAGTGAAGGCGGGTCTTCATGTGATTGATTTTTGGGGTCTTTTTGTTTTGGAGTTGTATTAAAATTAGACTTTTTTTCCTGTATAATTGGCAATACGCTTAAAGTTGAATCTGACTTACGCAGTTTTATGAAAACCATCTCTACTGCAACACGGATACCCACAGCGATGCTATTTTAGATCATAGATTATTAGAACTCAGGAAATAGAGCTGCCTTCTCGCACTTTATATGCTATTATATAACGCTGGTATGAAAATGCAAGGTTGTAGGTAGAGACTTATTCATCTTCTGTACTCCTCTGGCAACTCTAAGACTTGCTTGCAGGCCCCATGAAGAAGCGTGTACCCTCTACACAAACAACCCACAGGGATCATAGAAATGCATGCTTCTACACCACAGATCCGTAAGTGAGAAAACGCAGATTGTTAGAAAAACACCAATTTCTGATGAATTGTGTCAGTGATGGCCTACATAAATGTTACAAGAGCTCATAGGACTTTTGAAATGTTAAACATGAATTTATTTTGGTAATTTTTAATCAAAAGTATTAAATTATTTTATTATAATGATAATTTACTAGCTGTCATTACTAATGATGACAATAGCTTAATTATACTCACATTGATAAAAATGCTGTTGTGAAATGTCATTGAGTCAGTTCTGACTCACAGTGACCGTGTGAACAGGACACTGCCCAGTCCTGCACTATCCTAACCATCACCGTTACGTTTGAACTCAACACTTGTTACAGCTTACGTGCCAATCCATCTCACTGAGAGTCTTCCTCTTTCCCCTGACCCCTGACCCCTGACCTTACCAAACAGGATGTCCTTCTCCAGGGACTGGTCCCTCCTGATAGTATGTCCAAAGTACATGAGATAAAGTCTTTCCATCTTTGCTTATAAAGAAAGAGCGTTCTGGCTACAATCCTTCCTAGACACATTTGTTTATTCTTGGACCAGTGTATGGTCTGTTCAATGGTTTTCACCGACACCATAATTCAAATACGTCATTCTTCTTTGGTCTTTCTTAGAAACATCATTGCTATAGGCAAAAATAGGTTCTAAGTGCTCTCCATATATGAGCACATTTAATACTACAGCAGCTTTATGAAATAGTTATCATCTCTGTTTTACAGATGAGGAAACTGAGGCACATAGCCCTTAAATAATTCGTCCCAGGTCACACAGCTGGTGAGTAGCAGAGCTGAACTTTAAGCCCCAGCATCTTAACATATTGCATTAGGTGAATCTGTGGTTAGCAGTCCAGTGCTTATCCTACGGTGTTGCACCAGGACGTTTATCATGTGTTGTTACGTGCTCCGATTCATCGTGACCCTGTATATAGGGTTTCCCAGGAGCAGCTGGTGGGTTTGAACTGCCGACCTTGTGGTTCACAGTCCAGTGCTGATCCTACAGTGCCACACCAGGAGTCCCCTATCCTGTTTGGTAAACGGTGTCGATGCGGTTTCTCAGGGGAACACTGAAAACTCACTTGAGCGTCTCCTTTGGTCTAGATGACAGCGCCTCAGCCGGGAGTAGCATGGAGGTGACGGATCGCATTGCTTCCCTGGAGCAGCGAGTCCAGATGCAAGAGGATGACATCCAGCTACTCAAGGCGGCCCTGGCGGACGTGGTGCGGCGGCTGAACAGCACCGAGGAGCAGCAGGCCATCCTTAACCGGAAAGGACCAACCAAAGGTGGGCACCCTGGCTGCTGAACTGCTGTCAGCAAAGGCTCTTGCTCGAGGGAAGACACCTCACTCCCCCTGTACTGACATCCTCAAGCCAGAGTTACCATGAAACAAGCTTGTTATCACTAAGTACCGTTCAGTCGGGTCCAACTCATAACGACCCTGTTATGTTATGTTAAGGGTTTCTGAGGAGTGGCTGGTGGGCTTGTCTGGTGCTTATCCTACAGTGCCAAACCAGGACTCGCTCTATATAAATACACCGCAGTCCTGTGCTCACCGTGCCATGCCACACTGGGACCCACACCATCACAAATGTCAGTCATTTAACTGCTGATGAAATCAATGTCACGGTGAATTGCAGAGCCCAGGGATGGCTGTTTGTAGGTGGTCAGTATATATGTTTCTTGGGTCAAGGAAGGAACCTCCTTCAGTAGAATGTCCACAGTGGAGATAGCTGCCAGTGAGAACCCATGATCCTCTGGGTTCCTTCTGGGGAATGTTCCACCCAGAACGTTTGTGGACAGCCCTGCTCCCTCTCTCTGTGTACGCAGCTTCTACTACCTACTGTCCATTCAATGCAAACATTTCATGGATCGTGTGCCACACACAAGGTCCAGGACCAAGTACTGGGCCACAGAGTCCCCAACTAAATCACTCGCTCTTTCTTTCTTTCAAGTTGATCAGTTCCTACCGGACAAAGCCGTCGGTTTCTTTTGGAGCTCCCGCTCCACTGCCAGGAGTCTGGTGGCGCACCGGGTTAAACATTGTGCTGCTAACGGACTGTCTGCTCTCAGAAGCCCTGTGGCCAGTTCTGCACTGTCCTGGAGGATGGCCATGAGTCAGAACTGACTTGACGACAGTGGCAGGGGTGGGGTGCAGGGATGTTCCAGTAGCTGTGAGGACATAGCTGATCCCGAGGTCGGTGCCTGGTTTTTTGACCAATTTAAATGTCCCTCATCCCTGTGGCTTCTAGGAATGAGCCGTAAAAAGGCAATTGTCTGCATATTTAAGAGGTTTTTTTTTAGAGTCCGTGGGTGGTGCAGACTGCTAACACACTAAGCTGCTAACTGAAAGGTTGCAAGTTTGAATCCACCCAGGGGTACCTTGGAAGCAAAGACTGGTAATCGGTTTTTTAAAGATCCAGCTATTATATTTAAATGAATAGATGCTTTTTGTTTTGTCTGTGAACATCAAATTGTTTTGCTTTGTTGGTTTGTGAAAAATACGATGTGAAAGGGAAGCCACAGGGAGGAAGCAGGATCACTGTTGTTGCAGGGAGCAGAGCGTAATGGCTTAGATGAAGGTAAAGCTGATGATCTTGTCTGTTACTCTTCACTCAATTCACAATTTGAAAAAAAAAAATAAAGGCATCGAAATCCTAAGGAGTGCAGTTTTCTTCTGACCCACTCGGGGTTGTCGTGAATTTGAGTTTTCTTGAGAGCCAGGGGTTTAAATAGCTTCTTACTGACCTGCCTCTTAAAGTTTTGGAAATAAAATATGCTTCATAAAATTTTACATCCTGCTAGTTAGCAACCTTCCAGCTACTCCCGACTGTGTTACATTGTTTGGGCCTTTGCGGGCATCTTGTTTCCTTGTGACCATCCTTAGAAAACACAATGATTCTTGTCAGTGAAATTCCTGTGGTTCAAACATTTTGAGATCAGGCAAACAGAAAGGGCATTACAGTGACCATTCATCAACACCTTGTTTGTTGCTTGGTCTGCATCAAACGCATCATTTCTCAGCATGTTTTCCAAAGAGTCAGACCAGGAGAGGGTGTAGTCTGTTCTTGCTGGCATTCATTTTTCCCCCATATCCATGCCTGCTATCTCCTACTTGTGTGTCACTTTGTCATACTGTGGTAGCTTGTGTACTGCCGTGATGCTGGAAGCATCAGACACCAGCAGGGTCACCCACAGTGGACAGGTTTCAGTGGACCGTCCAGACTAAGAGGAGGAAGAAGGAATAGGCAGTTCACTTCTGAGGGATTTCTCCTTACGAAAAGCCACAGAACATTGTCTGATGTAGTGCCGGAAGTCACTGAAGAGTAGAGTTGATCTTAGTGACGTAGATGGAGTAAAGATTGTGGGACCTTCATTTGCTGATGGGGCATGACTTGAAAGAAAGAAACAACTGCAAACATCCGTTAATGATTGGAATGTGGAATGTACAAAGCTTGAATGTAGGAAAATTGAAAGTCATCAGAAATGAAATGGAGCACATAAAGGTCAGTACCCTAGACATTTCTAACTCTAAATCTTTGCATATTTTATCAACTCTCAACACTCGCAGAAGCAGCAGTCAAGAGATCAGACGACGTATTGCATTAGGCAAATCTGCTGCACAGGAACTTTT